GAGAAGCTTGCAATTACAGCACCGTCGTTGGAGTTTTAAGGGACGTTCGAAGGAACAGAGACACTCACAAAAGCAATATTAGGAGGTGTTAGTAATCATCCTAAAGCCTTAAAGATCTGTTTCCGAGGCAACATTCGAATGGGTCATTTGAGATCTTTCGGGGCTAGAGGACGACCACTAATAAGCCCTATATTTCATGACCACTTAACCGAAGGCAACCGAAGTGGAGTAAACCCTAGGAGTGAGCATGTGCAAGTGAGCTTTTTTCAGTTAATTTGTATTTGCACATTTAGGTTATCTACCGTTTTAATTTTCAAATATTCTTTCCATACAATCCTATTAGCATACATCTAACAATTAATAATTGCGGAAATTTAAAGTGCACAAATAGAAATCCTAACTATTACATGGCTTTCGCAGATACAAAATTATTTAACTGAAAATAAAATTCGGAAATTTAAAACCTAATTGAAATTTATTACAACCTCGAAACAGTTACATAAATAATAAAAAAAGTAATTAAAATATGCGCGACAGATTAAATGTGAAGACGATTAAAAAACCTAAAAAATCTAATTTGAGAAAAAAAGAATATTTAAGTTACTTTTTGAAGGAAATTAATTATCTACAAAACCCTAATTTCTAATTGGTTTTAATTATGAAAAGGAATTAAATTAACCTAATTTGAATTAAATTAATTAATTAAAGAAAATAAAATATTTTTTATGAAAAATATGATTTTTGGGTGTTTTTTGTGATTTTATGGTTTTTTGTAGATAATAAAAAAAAGAATTAATTTGTGAAAGTAAATAATTAAACAAATAAAATAAATAAAAGAAATAGAGAAAATTAAATTGTGCCTGTATAGCAATTGGAGGGGGTGTGTTGCTGAAAATGTCTAGGCCCACCAAGCTGAAGCCCAGCTAGCGCGTGATCCAGTGGGGAGACTTTCTGATGGAACACCATGATCCCTGGCAGGTGGAGACGTTGGATCTGATTGATCAGGAATGTGATGAGATCCTATGGTTGGATGATGGAGGTGCATGGTGAAAGCTTGAGTGGGTGATGTGCAGGATCTGTCAAAGGAAAATGAAATAAGGAAATTTGTTGGGACCTGGGATCGAACCCAGGCCCTCTACCCTTTCCAACACACTCCTTTACCAGCTGCGCCACATGTTTCAATTGATAACATAATAATAATGATGCATAATATATAAAACAAATGGATAAAACTGAAACAAATAAAAATGCGCACCCAGTTTGAATGGCCTAGTGGTTGGTTTCCACGTTATCATCTTCTTCCTCCTACCGTCATATTAACTTAGGGACTTTTACCTACATTCAGCATCCGTAGCTACAAACCTGCAAATTTCCAAAATCTACCACAAGCAATATAAATCGATTCCAAGCATACAGATCAACTCATTTTGATCTCACGAGTATGATGGCATCCTTCTTTTGGCCTAATTGTACCTGTATCAAGAAACCCTAAAATACGACCTCAAACCCTAGCAATAGCAACTATCAATATATGCGCTAAAACATCAGTTAAGCCAATCCAATATGTTGCAAACATGATAACAAACACATAAATAACATTAAAACATGTTTATGATGCGAGAATTATAGTAATCAAATTTTGAAAGAGAAGTAAACTGTGACGGTCGTGTAGCGCGTTTCTGGGCTTGTGGAGGCCTGGTGATGCTTGCAATCGCTTCAGAGGATGTCCAGGAGTGGATTGGTGGCTTTGAATCACCTCAAATCATCCTCTAAATTGAAATCTGGTCCACACTTTTTCTTCAAAAAATTTGAGTTTGCTTGATGAATTTCACGACCTCAATCCTTGTTCTCTTACCTTGTTGTGTTATGCATTTGTACTAGAGTGAATTAGGGTTGTAAAAACCACTAGTATCTTTGCAAATTTTGAAGATTTGATTTGGTTTTCATGTGGTATGATATCCTTCCAAATTTGGCCTAATCATGCCATTCTTGTGCCAATTAGCTTTGATTTTATTTGATTCTGATATGCCAGCATAATGAACTTGTGATTCTGTCCAAAAATCCAATCAAAACAAATCTTTGCTATTATTTACCAATTATTTGATTTAATTTAATTTTTAATAAATAAAAAATAAAAATAAAATAAATAATGAAGCAAATAACATGTGAGTGAACATTTGGGTCGTGGACCATGTCATGAGTGAGGTGCAAGCATAAAAAGTTAGGCCCATTTGGCAAAAAATGCATTTTTGAGCACATTTGACTTTTGGCAATTTTGCAAAAAATGTCAACTTTGGCAAGGCATATCTCTTCAAATTTTAACCCTAGAGAGGTGTTCTTGGACTTTTTAGAAAGCTTAGGATGTCCCCTAAACAACCCTTTTGGTCTCATCTCAAATGAGTCTTCCATGTTCATGTAAGAAGCTTTGACCCAAAAGGTGTTTTTGTTGACTTTTCAAAAGGACCTATAATGTGGAAATCCATATCTTTTTATGAATGCATATTTTGAACTTGAGGCCTGAAGATTAATCGTAGGGAATTGTATTATCTTCAAAATGATCCTTGGATGGAAAATTTCTGATAAAGTATGAGGAAGTTATGCTTGGTTAAAGTTTGGTTGACTTTTCTCGAGAAACCCTAATTTAGCAACTTTTGGGTTTTGATGAATTTAGGGCATTCCTTGAGGAATAATGATCAAACCTTGATCAAATGATGGATATAACTTCAAACTGTTAATGTTGACTAAAAATCTTGAAGTTTGACTGTATGTGGGCCACAATTGACTTTTGACTTAATACAGTCGATTCTCAAGCATCTGAGTAGTTGACTGAGCAAACTTCTTGTGCAAGGCTTGAAATTTGACATGGAAGGTCTTGAGAACATATTAGGACCATGAAAAGCATATGAAGTCTTTGGAGTTTACCCATCTTAATGAAAATGGAAACCCTAGTTTAAGATACATTGCCTTAGGAGAGAGTTTGTCTGGTCAACTCTTGGGCAACCTTGAACAAATGGAGGATCTCTATGGGCATGTTTTGAGTAAAATGAGAGGGAAAATTTTGGGGTACAACACTCTTGTACCAAGTCATGACACCTTTTCTCATATTGGTCGAGAATAACTTGTATTTGATTACGCCCTTCACGCCTCGGTAATCAAGTAGGGCATCGATGCCTTCTATGTGGTCGTCTGGATCGGTCGTACCGTCGTAGGATCCTAATGTGGCCAGTTTCTCGAGCCCGACCAAGAGTCGTGCCTCTATAATTTCTCTCGATAACGGGCCGCGGGGCTCTTCGTCATAGGTCTCTTTTGGAAATGATGACAGGGAGTGGTGGTTTCTTCCTCGTCGGGCGTCGTCATGTCATCGAGGGGAGGGGTTGCGCCCTTGTAGCCTGGTCTAAGTGATAGTGACCTGATGCGGTCATCTTTTCAGGTGATCTTCGTCTTCTTGGAAAGCGGAGAGTCTTTATCCTTCTTAGGAGATGCTCGATCACGCTTCTTACAGAAAGAAACGTCGAGCCTTTCCTTTCTTTAAGGATGCCCCTCTCGGGGAGGTGATATGCTGGAGGAGTTATATCGTCAGTGTCTCCGAGGGGGAGACCTTGTCTGTTTTCGCTCCATATCCCCAATCATTTTGCTCTGCTGGAGGATGAGGGAGTTGGTTCAGTTAAGGGAAGTGATCAGTGCTGTTATGGCTGGGTTGACGTTCTGCGGAATAGGGACCGGTTGTAGAATCTCTGATTGGTCTTCGACAAGGTTCTTGGGAAACTGTTTGTCTAAGAATAGATTATTACCGCAATCAGCGTCGGTGGAATCCGAGGACGCAGTATGTCTGTCACGGGCGTCGAAGTAATCCTCGAGGTGAGGATGTTCTTGACTTTCGCCGGTCTTGCGTGTCGGGGAGAGCATAGTCTTTTCAGATAGGTGGTGATCACCATGATCGACCATCATTGATGAATGGAGAGGATCTTTGGTGTTCAGATTCTGGGAATAGAAAACGGGGAGGATAGTTTCCCGCAGTCGGCGCCACAGATCTTACCGGTTGATCAGAACCTGCAAGGTGGTCGGATGATGATCTTTAGACGGGCTAAAAAGTCAAGGAGGAAACAGGGGGGTTGTATCTACAAAACACTCCGACGATCAAGTAAGTTTGGGAGAAAAAAGAGATACAAGCAAAATATTAGGGTTTTAGGGATGAATATTCAATATTCGATAACTTGGCCATTGGTCCCTATTTTTGGGCCTAGATATGCGGGTCCACAAAAATAAGTAACTGCCAAGACTTGATCAAATCGGACAAGTGTGCCTGTAATTAGCCGTTAGTTCCAAGGAGGAAGCAGGTTACGGGCAGTGGTCTGGTTGGTTCTTGATTGTCTGACCGACTTAAGGTCGGGCAGACTGAAAGGCGCTCGTCGATTATCGTAGATCAATGTTGATCCAGGAGGACAAACTATCGATAATGCCCGACGAAAGACGGGGGAGCCCGAACCGTAATCACACAGGTCATACTGAAGGAGGAGGTCAAACTAGACCCACTCTAACCGTTGAACTAGTCTAAAGCAGAAAATATTACAATTATATTACTTGTTTATATTATGAGAATTAATCACCCTAAATCCACACCAAAGTATCTTTTATCACTTACATATCTAAACGTTATTGGTCTATCATAACCCTATACTACCTTTAATCATTATTATTAACAAATATTATTTTTTAAATTTATTAAATAATAAATATATTTGAGTATCAAATATATTTAATACTCAATCAATCTAAAAAGAAATTTTTTACTTATTTATAAGCCTCGAGAAAGTACTACCATAAATACAACCCACACTTATAAATCTATAGATCCGAGCATACATTGTATATCAATTATATGGCCATGTAATCCTAAAGTTCCCTAAAATACGAAGGATTTATGTTGTAGAATAAAAAGCTAACCCGACCAAAAGGATCATAATCCAAATCATTCACGTTGCAAAGCAAACTCACGTCACATGCAATTACACAACAATATTCCAACTTTGCTTGACCGATGTGTTTCTATATGCACATATGCACATGCAACCATAAACATATCATGTGATTGGCATCTCACATCTGCACCCATATTTTTTGTCCACATAGTATATAATATTACATTACATGACAAAAACATATTACATCAAATTCAAAATCACACTTAACCTTCACCTCACCGTAAAAATTATAAAAATAATAATCATCAAATAATAACAACCCAATAATTAACAAGTCTTCAATGGGTTTCCACATAAACAATCATTGTTATTAAACGACGCCGCATCAAGATGATCAAATGGAGAACCAATTGGTATAGTTCCACAAAGATGATTATTGCTAAGATCCAAATGACCCATAAACTTCGCTGATGATAACGAACCGGGTATCCGACCCGATAAATTATTAAACGATAAATCAAGAACCATGAAATAGGATTTTGACCCGAATACATTGGGTATGGATCCTTCAAACCCGTTTCGGCTCAAATTCATAATACCCATACCCGAATTGCTTAACAAACTTGATGGAATTTTACCCGTCATAGAGTTGCCATCAAGTTTTAGAGTGGATAAAACCCGCATTTTTCCGAGCCGAACGGGAATCGAACCGGTTATCTTGTTTAAAGACAAATCCAAATCTGCGAGCCGGTTCATTTTAAGAATCGAATCAGGAATTGAACCAACGAGTTGGTTTTGACTCAGCAACGCGCGACTCAGTCGACGGAGTTTCCCGAAATCGGCGGGTAACTCGCCGATGATCTGGTTGTTGCTAAGGTCAAGGTGCATGAGACTAGAGATTCTGACAATCGACATCGGAATCTCGCCGGAGATTGCATTGTCAGCAAGGTTCAAGACAGTGAGTTTCTGGAGCTTTCCGATGTTTCCGGGGATGCCACCGGAGATTCGGTTTCCGGTGAGGTCGAGGATTTGGAGGGAAGAAAGAGAGGTGATGCAGGAGGGTATTTCTCCGGAGATGGATTTCCAGTCGGCGATAACGACGGTGGTGAGCTGGTCGAGTTTACAAATCTCCGGCGAGATGTTTCCGGTCATGGTGCCGGAGTGAGTGACATTGTGGAAGATTGGATCTTGGGAGTCTCCGCGGAGGTTAATGTCGGTAACGCGCCATGTGGTGGGGTTGCAGCTGACGCCGTGCCATCCACGGCAGCAGTCGTAGCCTGACCAGGTGTTGAAGATGCCTAATTTGGGCTCCGTTAGGGCAGCTTTGAAGGCTAAGAGTGCTGCCCGGTCTGACGGAGGGCAGGATTTAACGGTAGAGATAACAGTGAAGAGAAGTAGAGTTAGGAAAGAAAGTGAGGAAGCCATGGGATTGAGTGTGATTGTTTTGTTCTCACTGTAATGCAATGGAAGATGAGTTTGCATGTGTCATATATATAGATTTTATTCTATCGCCGTATCAGTGGTTCTTCTTTTTAACTGAAGAAAAACCACCTCATATATTAAATCAAATCATACGAAGGGAATAGTGAGATCAATGGCGGAGTTATTGATAAAAATTTTTGGGATGGTCTATAACGTAAGATAAATATTATAAATAAAATATAAATAGAATTTTAAATAAAACATTAAAGTTAAAATATATTTAAATTTAATTATCAAAAAAATAAATTATATGACTTAAAAATATCTTAAAATAATAGTCTATGCATTCTGAATGATTTGAAATTATCTATAATAGACTCAGAACTAATGTTTGTACTAATTTCTCTTTCAATATATACTGTCATGCTATCTCTTAGAAATCCATCACACATCTTGTCTCTCAACTTAGTTTTGATAATTTTCATTATTGAAAAAGACCTCTCAATTGTTGCTGTGGAAACAGAAAGAGTCATGATAAGACGAAGTAGTCTATCAATCAAGAAGTAAGTTTCAGTTTGTCCAAATGCAATCAAACTTGAACATAGTTCTTGAATAGTTGATAAATTATTCAAGTTTGATGCTTGACGAGCAATAAAAAGAAAATGTTAGACTTGAAATTGCAAATTATTCTTCTCTTGATTACTAAAATCCATAGGATAATATTTTTCAACTAAAGAACAAACAGTATCAATATTAAAAGTTTTATATTCATCCTTAGGAGACAAAACACAAGAAAGGGTTAACAAATCCATTGCTTGTTCACTAAATCTGCTATTCAACTCTTGTAATTGTTTGTCAATGGCAGTGAAAAAGATTTCAACTTTAAAGAAATGTTAAATTGTGACTTGATTCTCTTCAAGACGGGAGCGTCCAAATCTTGTTGTTGAAAGGACACCATTAAGATCAGAAATCTCAATACCATGTTTTTCATAAAATGATATCACTTTAGTAAACAATATATCCCAACAATTTTCTCTAAATTCTTGAATAAAACTCTTTGTTGAACGAACCAAGTGCATATCACTAACTACATCCTGATTTTATTTTTGTAAGGCTTGACAAAGCATATCTGTTATCCCCATAATTTCTTTCATCACGTGTAAAATAAATATAAAATCAAATGCCTTCAAGTAATTATAACAACTATTAGCATCCCCATGTGTAACATGACCTCCTCTTTCATTTGTAATTTTTTTTAAAACTGAACAAGTTGCTTCATACATGTTTATCAAGCTACAAATAGAATTATAATGTGATCCCCAACGAGTATCTACCGCTCGTTTCAAAGTACCAACTTGATTTGCACCTTTACCACTTACAATCTCGTCAATTTCTAACAAATATGAAATTTCTTCTAATTGGGCAGCTTGTAACTCATCATGACACTTTATAGAGGAGCAAACAACATTTATAAAAAAAATCAACTTATCAAAGAATTGATGAATTAATTTTACCTCTCTTGATGATGTAACCAACGCAAGTTGCAATTGATGAGCAAAATAATGAACATAGTATACATAAGGACAATCCTTCATAAAGAGTGCTTGTAAATTGTTACACCCTAATTCTACCTGGCAATTATATAAGCAAAATCAGAGTTATAAAATTCATGCAAACAAATCAGGATGCCACAAATTCATCTTTCAAAATACATTGCATTCACCGTGGATACATAACACTTTAAAACTTCAGATGAACCATCAGCATAATACTTTAATTAAATAATTCAACAATTTAAACATCTATGCAGCGGGATTCTTAGTAATATCTTTATCCATCATTACGGCAACTTCAAAACAACACATATTTAATAATAATCAACTTAAAGTTCAACAACTGAAATAATCAACAAATAAAAGCAATAAGCGTTCACACCCCCCCCCCCGAGTGTTACATATCAGAGCAATGACACTGACTCAAACTACTGAAGGTATACAACTTTCACTCTCGATTACCTGCACGTTACCAACGTAAGGGTAACATTCAAACAGAAGGGGTGAGATATCTAACAATATAATAAAACGTATGATAATTAATATATTAAATTAGATCACATAACATCACCACCTCTCATCTCATAATCAACAATAATTACAACAATAATACACATTCACAACATCAATACACAACTTCTTTATACAATCATATAATACGACTCAATATTATGCAAATGCATGTGGTACTATTGGAGCAAAACTCCCATCTTAAAAATCTGCCAATAAATAGAGGCATCAACAAGGCATAAGCCTTCATCTTCGCCAATACAGGCCATCTTAACGAGCATAAGCTCCATCTTGAAATGCAATGTATGCGACACAATCATGAATGTAATGACAACACCATAATTAACAACATCTCAACACAACATCATCGTTGGCCATAAGCCTACGTCTTAATAGCTGTCCATTATTAGAGACATCTCAACATCTTTCATCAACATCGTTCATCAATAGAATTTAACATCATAATTCATCAAACATCATTTATACATCATAATTTATCAAACATCATTAATCAACCTCATAATTCATCAAACATCATATATCAACGTCATAATTCATCAAACATCATATATCATCATAATTCACGGCAACTCAGCCTCAACAACCATACAACAGCAGTTTGTCCATCTCGCAACGTTAGCCATAGGCCTACAACATGATATTGCCTATAATTAATTAATCATCTAAGGCTTACTTCTAAATCACAAAACCTATACATATTACTATTATGTAATACTACATTATTATCATCATTAATCCTATTGTTACAAACCAAACAGTAATCTATAATCATCTCCTCCTCATCATTCTTCACAAAATCTACATAACGATCAACACGGGAACTAATTAAAATCCTAATTTGGATACTATGATTATCCTTCATATCCCTCATTTTAATCCTTAAGAATGAAGTTCATCACGTTAGCTATTCAACGCTTCGAACGACACCTCAAACGGAGTTCGAAAACTCAAGTTATCGCCTTGGGAAAACGAATCTGTCAAAAACCAGACAACATGGATCGACGCGTAATGCCTTGGGTCGACGCTTACTGAACTGGACACGCTACATGAGTCGACGCATACTCTCTTGTATCGACTCATACTGAGTCTGCAACACTACATGTATCGACACATTCCCCTACGTATCGACTCATCCTGAGTCTAAAAGCCCTCATGAATCGACGCATGACTCCTTCGTGTCCATTCATCCTGAGTCTAAAAGCCTTCTTGTATCGACACATAATGTTTGGGGTCGACACATACTGCTCTGTCATGAATAATTTTCTGCGATTTCTCTGTGTTTTCATTATGGGTTCCATACTTTAGGTCATAAAAACATCCTCTAATCATAGATAATCATCAACTATAATTATCCTATAATTCTACATCAAACATACAGCATTGGGACATCATTATTCATCTTTCAATCATCGATTTCCATCATATACATCATATATAATTCAATCATAAACCAAACAATATTTCACCTATAACCCCACATACCAATTATCATGAACCCTATTATAGAGTCAGAACCCCACCCTTACATTGGATTGAAGGTTGATCTATAATTTTTCCGGTTGAATTTCGGTTCTGCCTCTTTCCTCTTTTCCAACAGCTTTCACGTTCTTCTTCCAACCCTTATTCTTCTTACTGCTTCCTCTTCCTTATTATTTCTACAATAATAAAATAACTCTATTATTATCTTTATTCCTTAATGGGCTCAAGACTACTACACCCCCTTATTACTACTTCTATCCTTTAAAACAAGCTCACATCAAA